ATAGATTACAATTGTTTTGATGATTAAAACGCTTAGTCACATAGTATCTTTATAGTCTGTGTGTGTTAAAGATTACTCTCACCGATGTCGGCAAATCTGAAAATCTTCCTTCACGCTATATTTGTCTGTTAAATATCGACTGAGTATTTTCTGAACACATATGATACTGTTAGGTTTATTTAGTCTAATGTTTGTTTAGACAACGCTTCAATTTTAATTAAAAAACAGATGCCAGGAGAAAATTCACAAGAAAAAAATTGAACGTGAAAGCGTTCCAATTGTCAATTACAATAAAATTATATATTTTGGTTTTTATGCGATTTCTCAATAAAAACATAATATTTTTTACACTTGAAATTTATCAAATGGAAACATTATTTTTTCATCAAAATAAATTTTTTTAAACAATTCATTTAATTATTCTATAACATTACACAATTTGAAATTTTATGATACTCTATTGATTAGCGTGATACAGTATTGAAATTCTATTCATTTTATTTATTTTCAAAATTATTTAGTTATAAGTAACAAGCATTAAGTACATAAGTAGACTATAATCATTGTGTATTTAATTTAATATGTCTAAAACAGTCTTAATATCGTGAGATAATTGATCACATTAAAGTTCATTATAACAAGACTGATAACAAATGTTTAAAAAGTATCTAATAGTTACATGAATCATCAAAATTTTCCCTTTAAAAATAACAAATTTTAACAAATTGATATTTTAAAAATAGTTAACTGACAATTGTCGTTGTCATTAGGATAAACAACTTTGAACTCTGTAAGCTTAATATTAAAAATTCCTCTGTTTCAATTTTATCATTTGAATTTCTAATAAAATTCATGAAATCTTTCGGTGAAAAATTATATTATTATCTAGAATATTAAAAAAAAAAACATTTTCTTTGAACAACAAAATAATTTAGAAAATATATTCTTAATTAAAATAAATGAATAATTTTTTAATAAAAACTTTACACTATAATATAAAAAACATTTTTAAACTTTTCTAGACTAATAATTTAACACATTTTATACAAATAAAATGTATTTAAAGAAAAAGTCGTTTATTAATGTTTTTCTCTATCTGGTTGCTATCGTCATTATGCCCGTATAATATTTATAATTGTGAAGTTTATCAACCTGCATGACGTCAACAATGGATAATACTATAATTATTGGCATACTATTTCGTTATTATTGAATGAAGTTTTAAATTGTTTTCGGTTTTAATTTAACATTTAATTCGATATATGGCTTACATTTTACCAAAACATATTATTGATATTTCATTAACACTAATCGATGCCAACAATTTTCGTTATTAAATATTTTTGCTGTCTCATAATAATTGATATTCGATGTTATTTCTTGTAGACATATGTTAATATGAAGTTAATATATTAATCGGTAAGAGTGGTACCGGGCTAGTTATTTTTATCATCTAAGCGTTGTTAGTCGATTAATTATGTGTCGAAAGGCCATTTATCGTTCGTTAAAAATGTTTCATTCCTATTTAGCAAACAAGGAAAGATCAGTTCAGTTTTTCTTCAATTACATGCTCTTATTAGACATCACTAACTGTAACTTAAACAACTGTTTTAAGTCGTGGCTTGTTCAATGTTCTAACAAAATAATATCCAGTTAGACTTGCACAGAATTCTTAGAAAGATATCCAAATTAGAATGATCGTGACACTAGAGTCTGGACTAACGTTAGGGGGATACTTAATTTATAAAAATGCTAAAAAAATCAAATTTTCCATCATGGAAATACTTGTTTGTTATTTATTGGTTGCGCTTTTAACAGAATAAGTATTCAAAAATGATAAAAGTGGCAACGTCGTAATACAATTTTTAAGTTATGCTTAAAAAAATTGATTACATAACCATACTCCCTTTCCATCAGAGTAGCCTCGAAGATCTTTAGAAAATTATTGGACAAGAAATTTTGTTTCTGGTATATAATTTTGTGTATGATTTAATATGAAATATTTTTGTATCGGAGGTACAGATAAACTGTAGATAATTTTTTCAAGAAGAGTATTATTGGAAATAATTAATAATTAAGAAGGGTAATTGCTTGTATTCGCCAAATATAAACATGATCCTATTTATAGTTGTCGATTTAAAAACAATTGTGTCAAGGTATCCTACTAATGTGTGGATAGTGATTTTCTACATATACACGTTATAATATTTTCATTTAATTTAGTATCTGGGTAAATCTTTTGAATTAAATCATTAGTTTGGATAGTCTATGTTTTTATTTGAGGTTGTATGAGCATGTAATTATATTCAGTAATACACAAACAACCGAGGTCCTAGTTCACCGACGTCAGCTCAGACTGAAAATTATCGACGGACAATAATTGTCCGTCATATTTATTTATATTTATTATAAATAGATCAAATTACCATATGTACAACATGGTAATTTGATTTTTAATTACGAATTTTAATCTATATTATTCTATCAAAGAAAAAGTCAATAGAAAAAAACAATACGTTGTTGACAACGTTGAATAAAAAATTAATATTATTAGATAAATTATTTTATTGGAATTTAATTTTAATATTAATAAGTTATAAAAAATTCAATATTAGAATACGATTTCATTGTGTTCATTAAAATATTAACATAAAGCACAAGGTCGGTACAACATTAAATATCACAGATCAATATAATTAACCTATCTACCATTGAATTCGGTCGTTTACTACATTATAGAATACCTTTTTAATAAATATTTTAGTTTTTAATGATATCGTGTGTGTCATTCAATAATTTTTGTATTTCTCACAACTTTTATCTTAAATCCTACGATTTTAACCTTTTTACATAATATGCACGTTCTTTTTTTTACTGTGTTCTACAACCGCGAATATGTATTAACTATTTCGAATGCAACAGAATAGTTTAATAAATGTTTTTTACTTGCAAAGTTTCACTCNTCAATGTAATTAACCTATCTACCATTGAATTCGGTCGTTTACTACATTATAGAATACCTTTTTAATAAATATTTTAGTTTTTAATGGTATCGTGTATGTCATTCAATAATTTTTGTATTTCTCACAACTTATATCTTAAATCCTACGATTTTAACCTTTTTACATAATATGCACGTTCTTTTTTTTACTGTGTTCTACAACCGCGAATATGCATTAACTATTTCGAATGCAACAGAATAGTTTAATAAATGTTTTTTACTTGCAAAGTTTCACTCGAAAAATGCAACAAAATATTACCATTGTCGTACGTCGACTTGACTAAATGATATGCGTTTTACTTCGGGTCACTCACATTTTAGTGAGGGGAGGTAGTTATAAATGAATCTCTTCTTTCTTCTTTCCCAAGTTGTCGGTGATGCGTCTACTGTTTAGTGTCCTCAGGCCCGCTGAAATTTTACATAAATCTTCCTTTAGATTCCGAATGAGTCAATTATTTCCTACTAGACACTGGAAAACCGCACATTTACATGATAATGTAGTAGTTACCAAGAAAACGCGTAGGCGGCTTTACACGCCGTAAGCCAAAACTAACCTTATTAACGATTAGTAGGTTTTTATTCGATTTAAAATAATTTAATGGTTTAAGTGATTACATCATGAAAATCTGTTTACATTAATTTTAGCCTGTGACATTTTCTATAGTTATCAATTTGTTATTTTGAAATTTTGTTTTGACTTAATTTAAACATTATTTTCACGTTTTTTTTTTCATAATTCTCAATTATTAATTTGCATTGCGCAATAAAAATCTTGAACTAATGAATAAAAACACATTTCGCACTATGAATATGAATAACAAATGATTTCATTAATTATAAAACACGTCGTATTTAATAAACCAAGTTTTGAACTTGATTAACAATCGAAGTCGTAATCTTTAATTTTTTGCATTTCCCATTTTTTTACAAAAAAAATGGTTATCAAGAATAAACTAAGTTAACCGATCCAATTTTATTAAATCTTAAACAAATTAAGACAAATAGTTTAAGAAGTTTCAATTAAATCTCTAAATAGAAAAAGGATAATATTCCAAATGACTAAAATTTAAATGAAATGTCATACTGTAGACAATAAGTCGTCTATTGATTTTTATAATGTTATACAGTATATATACGATGTTTTATGGAATAAATAAGGTTAGGTAAAAATAAATAATTTTTTTTATGTACAGGTTTTTAATTAAAATTAGGAAAATCGACAATATCTTTTACGCCAAAAAGTTTAGTGCTATGAAATGTTATTCTTTTTTACTCAACAGTTCAATTCTACGTGAAGAATATTTTTACCTCAGCGTTTAACTACATGTTTAAGAAATTCTAACCGAATACCATCTATCCAATAAACATGGTCGAAAAATCGTGCGTGAGATATTAAAAAAAAATTTTCAAGTCAATTATGATCGGAGTTAAATTAGTAATCTTCTATTGTTTAATTTACCTACCCTGTTTTATATTTAAGTGATTTTGAACTTTATCACTTGAAAATCCCTACCACATTTACTTCCAGGTGACGTTAATCTAGCTGTGTGTGGTATTGTTGATTTTTTTTTTTTGTTACGATGATATTGTTATGGACTCAGAATACTTCATAAATATAATACGAAATATATAAATAATGCATGTCATGCTTTCATTACGACAGCTGTGACGTTTAACGCCTTCACGCTGGAAACCTTACTCAAATTAGATAGTACAAAAACTTACGGATACAGAACAAAGTATTTTGTATGCATACGAACAACGTCTTTATTTTTCCATTTAAAAAGTAATAGTTTTAATAAAATATTAAAGATCTTAGATTTACTGCCAAAAAAAAAAGAAAGATAATTCCACTTTATAACAACTTTTAGGTAAGAATGTAAAAAAATTGAATTTTTTATTATTATCATTCAATTAGTAATCTATATCCAAATCAATAGATTAATACTTGTTACTTTTAAATTGAACAATATGCTTATATATGTTTTTTTTTTAACAGACTTCCGGATGGCGAAAATTAAGAAATATTGTCCAATGGACGCCTTTTATTCAAACTTACAAAAAACAAAGATATCCATGGGTTCAGCTTGCTGGTCATCAAGGTAATTATAACTCGTGTAGTTAAATAATATATTAGTTGTCTGTCAAATATAATATAGTTTATCTAATCACAAAAATATGAAAATTATTTGATATATTTTTAATTAATCAAGTGTTTAAATAAATAAACACATGATTGATTAAGTACATTCTCATTTTCGCTATTAATTTATTTAAATATTCAAATACTATATTCAAAATTAATTAATAATGTTTACTCCTTTATGTTTAGGGTGTAATATTAAAATTAATATTTTGCCACAATACTACTCTAAATATGTATTCTATAAATATAGTATGATTTTATTAAAAAGTGCTATTTAGGTTATTTGATATTGAGACAAATGAATGAAAATCGATAGGTTTTATTTTTATTTCAAAAAATAAATGTATTTTAAATTTCAAGAATTGAAAATATAAATCGTGTAACTAAATAAAACAAAAATAAAAATTATTATTACTGACATTTGATTATACAAGTACATACTATTTTGTATGGTAGGCTGAAATATTCATTTTTTCACTGTTTTTTATTTATAATTAAATAAAGAAGGTGAATAAAGACGTCATAGATTCAAATTTTTAATATTATATTAAACATTGTGTGTAACTCAAATTATTTTATTTATTGAGTTATTTAAATATTTTACTATTCAATGAAAATACATTTTTATAGAATCGTTTAAAAATTAATTATTAGTTAGTTTCACATTTTATTAATTTTATTTAAATATTTTTGAAGTCTTATTTTTTTCTTATTGGAAACTAAATATGTTCAGGTTGCATTGAAAGGTTGTTACTGTCTGTCTTCGATGACAATTTTTTTTGTGAATTACTGAGGAGCAATACATTTTTATGTAGCAGCTACAATATGACCTAATTGAACCCTAAAATTTTAATACAGAAATATCTTTACACAAAACTAAATTATTTAAAAAAAAAAGTATATTTTTTAGTATTAGATTAATAATATTTTTGCTATAGTTTTAATTTAAAAAATATATATTTGTGTTGATAACATCGCTAACAATAATCTCGATGTGGCCGAATCGATAACACGAAATTACCTGATGTTGATTAACTCGGATACAAGTATTTTTTTTTTGCTGAACAAGAGACCAGTTCAGTTATTGAAAAGGCCATCCCTCTCTCCGGCGGCGGACTAACCAACCACCTGTTTTGGAATATCCAAGATTAAAAAATTTTTTCTTTGAAGAAGACCCCTATAGTTCTTATGGAATGCAAAAGCGCTAAAAAAAAAAATGACCCGTATCAAATCTTCTTCTTTTTCCTCGCCTTAATTCCAACTACTTGGGGTCGGCCAAGTCAACAAATAATACATTTTTTATGGCGATAAGCAATTTTTACTACTTTTAAATTTTTAACTGCTTTATTTTAGAAAAATATTAATGTGTGCCATACATTTGATTTAATTATCATTAAGTTCTAGAAATATTTTTAATGGAAACAAACCAGTTTACTTTAGCTTTAAGTAAATAATCACGAATTTTTTTTATAACTTATATTGTTAATAATTATGAATATATCTTGAAACTAAAGATTTCAATTCTAAAAACATATTTTTCTAAAAATATATTATATAACATTGTCTAAATGATCAAATAAAGATCGCATTCTTGCAAAACTATTAATATATTGGTTCAAGATCAAGTAAGAAATCATTTAATATCGATAATATTTTCAAAAGAAGGAAAATTGCAAAATTTTTTTTTAATGTTAGAATAAAAAAAAACGGTAGCACAGTGGGGTCGAGGCACAGTGTGGACGAGGCATAGATGGGACAAGTATAGATGATATCTGACAGTGATTAAAATCACTATCATAAGAAACGCTTCGATGCAAATCTGTAGATAGTGTTTCCTTTAGAGAAATTGGTGAAATATTTTAAAAGCAACATGAACTCTTATTTCTTTAATTATATCCTGATTAGTAGTTCTTTGATTTTAAAATATAATATATGAATAAATACTAATTATAGTTTTTAAATTTAGTATGAAATTGTGAGGCCAGCTATGATGTATGGTTAATAGTGTTGGGCGGTTGATAAGAAAGTAGAGCAGAGAATAAGTGTAGCAGAGATGAGAATGCTTAGTTGGATGAGTGGAGTGACTAGAGAAGATAGGATAAGGAACGAGCATATAAGAGGAAGTATAGGTGTTGCGTCAATCGTGGATAAGATGACAGAAAATAGACTTAGATTGTTTAGTCATGGTATGAGGAAAGAAGAATCGAAAGCTGTAAGAACAGTTATAGAAATGAATGTTGAAGGAAGAAGAGATAGAGGAAGACCAAAAAAGAGATGGAGGGATGCTATTGAATGCGATTTGAGGACAGCTGATGTGAGCGTAGAAGATGTGGGAGATCGTGTCAAGTGGAATCTTAGGATAAGGGTGCCCGACCCCAAGTAGTTGGGATTAAGGCAAAGAAAAAGAAAAATATTACCAGATATTCCGGTGGCAATTGACATAATATGATTGTTATTTCGGAATGTACAATTTAGCGTTTAGTTGGGTTTAAATAATATAGCGTCAAATCAATTACCTACTCTATCGGTTGTATCTCAATATACACTACACTTTAATGATACAATAAATAAATAAACTCACACATACACACATATGCATTTATAACATTGTGTCTAATGTAAGTATAACATGATAAAAAGTAACCGTAAAATGAAAAAAATGGAATATAAATTTTATTACTCATATTAAATGTAATGTAACTCGAAAAATATTTGTTTAAATGAAAAAATATAAGATTATATTTTTATTTATAATTGTCTTTTAAACAACTTTTGTGCGAAACTTTTTTTTGTAAGTTAAATATTTTTTTTTGAGAAAATTAAGAAAGCTCATATTTTTGAACTTTTGCGAGGATTTAAAAAAAAAGCTCAATTCCAATCTTGAGGACTATTAGTATGTCATTATACATATTTTAATTCAACTTTTAAAAAAACAAAATTTTTTCCGCAATTTTTCCTTTGTTGACTGGCCTAGATGTCAATTTTAAACTTGTAATTGAGCTAAAAGTTATGGTAATATATTCAATTTATTTTACTATAAACTTTCATAAATCTTTATCAAAAATTTTTCATCAACTTTAAAGAACCAAAAAAATAGGTTAAAATTGAAAATTTGGACTGATTATTTTTAACATATTAAAAATCAAATCAGTAATAATTTGAAAACAAATTTTTTTTTCTTTTAATTATTATTTTATATATATAATTAGTAATAATATAAAAAATTAGAAGTGATAGAAATAGTCTACTTGCAGATTTGAAAACAACGCGAAAAGTTGATTTAGAAAAGTATATTTTTGCTTCTGATGAAAGTTCCTTGTAGTCCAGTGCATTTTTTTATAGTAACAAACAGTTTTTATTGAAAATTATTGTATCAAGCCCTTTAAATTTTTATACACGTAAAAGTAAAGCAAAATATAACTTCTTTATTATTTTTATAATTTCTCCGTTTAAATTACAATATTAAATATCAATTTCATACTAAATTTAATAATTATAATTAGTATATATTCAAATATTATATTTTAAAATCAAAGAACTACTAATCATGATATAATTAAAGAAATAAGAGTTGATGTTGCTTTTGGAATAATCCACCAATTGCCTAATTAAAACAAAAAAAAAAAAAGTTTGTTGGGAATTTTTTCTGCTATTCTGCAAAATTACTCCTTCGTTGACTAGAATGAATCATTAAATAGAAAATTTTATGAGAATTAAAACAATGTTATTTTTAAGATTAATATGCAGTCAGAAAGTTTTATAATTATTATTTATTGTAAATTTATCAGAAAAACTCATTATTTTTTGCATTTTTATCGTAATAGAACACTTAAATAGAAATCATAGTAATCATTTCTAAGTAATTTTTGATATTTAAAAAGATTCTACTATTGAAATATCCAGAACTGAATTAATTTTAATGATTTACTTTAACTAAAAAAAAAAAAGTTAATATTTTGAATCCCTCTTGTGGGCAGGTAAAGGGTTAGATTTATAAAAAAAACCAAATGATAGATAAAGACATGCATCTAAATAAAAAAAAATATACTGATTTGGTCATTTTTGATAAAGTTATAACAATTAACAAAGTTATAAGTTTTATACACTGGACTACAAGGAACTTCCATCAGAAACAAAAATATACTATTCTAAATCAACTTTTCGCGATGTTTTAAAATGTGCAATTAGACTTTTTCTATAACTTCTAAGTTTTAATATTATTAAAAAATAGTTTTTACATATAAAAAAAAATAATTAAGAACAAAAAAAATTGTTTTAAATTAATACTGATTTGATATAATATTTAATATTAATTTGATTATTAATAAGTTAAAAATAAGGAAAATGACATATTTAACCAATTTTGTTAATCGTTTAAAGTTGATTGTTGTAAATGTTTATAAAAAAAAAAAAAAATTTATTTTACCATAACTTTTAGCTCAATTGGTAAGTTTGACATTGACATAATTAAATAGAAAATTTTATGACAATTAAAAAAATTGTATCGTTAAGATCAATATGCAGTCAGAAAGTTTTATAATTACTATTTATTGTAAATTTATCAGAAAAGCTCAATATTTTTTTGCATTTTTATGGTAATAGATAACTTAAATAGAAGTAATAGTAATAATTTCCTAGGAACTTTTGTTGTTTGTTGAAAAGATTCTATAATTGAAATATTGAGAACTTAATTAATTTTAATGATTTACTTTAACTAAATGTACCAATCAAAACAAAGTTGTTAAAAAGATTTACTCAATTGAGTTTATTATAAAATTTGATTATATTTGTAAAAATCAATTGTTAATTCAGGAGAAAAAACAATCATTTTTTTTAGAAATGATTTATATAGCAACACGTTAGAAAAAAATTTGAATATTATAGTCTAATAGTAGCACACACAAACAGAGTAATAAAATTATTAAATTACAAAGTAAAATGATTTAATTTTGTAGTTGAAACCTATCATATCAAACTTCATTCGTTAATAAATATTTTGAAAACATTAGAAATTAATGATTTTAATTGTCTTTATGGAGACGATGTAATAACTAACTGTTTAATTGATAAATTAGAATTTTTTTTTCAATTTTTGAGAGTAATATCTTCAACTAGATACGAATTGTAGTAATTTGACGTATTGTTGAAAAAAGTAGGTCAAGTTAGAGCAGAGAAAATAAATGATAGTCACAAAAAAATATCTTCTCGGCTTTGCATCGAAGCGAAAACTTAAAATATAGTAAAATAATTTTAATACGAATAAGAAATTTCTTCTTGCAAGGGGCGACTAAAGTGATGGGATCCTTGATCTTTATTGAAGTTATTGAATCTAAATGTGATAAAAATCAAACGAGTTAAAATTTATACTAACTTAAAAAGAATTAAGAAAAAATGCAAAAAATTCATTGCCATATGCGGGTTGGAACCTCGTACCCCAAGCGTGTAAAACATAAATTTTACCAACTCGGCAACCGTACGTTGCTTCCGGCGGTTGAAAAATTGGCTATTTAAGCTAGTTCAAATTTCAAAGTTATTTTTCTCGACTTAAAAGAAACAAACATATTTAAATAAGTTTAACTATCTATACTATATCAATTTTAATTTATATAATATTTATGAAAATCTGTACTCCCCTTGTCAGGTATTTTAAAATAAAATAAAATACAAAACCCAGAATTTTAACACAAAAATAGCATATTTTTGCATACGGTAGTCATTTTTACCATGAAGACAAATCCAGAGGTCAAATTTTTTTTTTTCACATTAAAGTATATTACATAAGCTTTAATTTAAGATATATTTAAAAGTGTCAGTATTTCCGGAATACTTTCAAAAATTAAATTGAAAATATCGTAGTAACAATACGCATGTTTAAAGTTTTGACCCCCCTTGTTAAAGGGGTATGATCCGATTTACAAAAAAAGCGTGCCAGATGAAAGGGGTATATCAATATTTATTATAAAAAAATAATAATATAGATCCATACATTTTTCCAAAAGTTATATAAAATATAAATTAAATAATATAACATATAAAATCGAGATTTTTTTCACGGAAATCGTACGTTTTTCTTTAACTTTGATGTCCGTTTTCACCACGAAGACAAGTCCAGAGGTCAAATTTTTTTTTTTCAAATTAAAGTATATTACATAAGCTTTAATTTAAGATATATATAAAAGTGTCAGTCTTTCCGGAACATTTTCAAAAGTTAAGTTGAAAAAGTTCTACTTTCTATACGCATTTTAAAAGGTTTGCACCCCCCCTGTATAAAGGGAAATGGTCCGATTTTAAAAAAAAGTATGTCGAATGAAAGAAGTATATATAAAGTATTTATCATTAAAGAATAAAGTTGATTCATGCATTTTTTAAAAAGTTATAGCAACATAATGTTAAAAAATGTAAAATATAATATCAAGAATTTTTTCACAAAAATAGCATATTTTTGCATACGGTAGTCATTTTCACCATGAAGACAAATCCAGAGGTCAAATTTTTTTTTTTCAAATTAAAGTATATTATATAAGCTTTAATTTAAGATATATTTAAAAGTGTCAGTATTTCCGGAATACTTTCAAAAATTAAATTGAAAATATCATAGTAACAATACGCATGATTAAAGTTTTGACCCCCCTTGTTAAAGGGGTATGATCCGATTTACAAAAAAAGCGTGTAGATGAAAGGAGTATATAAATATTTATTATAAAAAAATAATAATATTGATCCATACATTTTTCCAAAAGTTATATAAAATATAAATTAAATAATATAACATATAAAATCGAGATTTTTTTCACGGAAATCGTACGTTTTTCTTTAACTTTGATGTCCGTTTTCACCACGAAGACAAGTCCAGAGGTCAAATTTTTTTTTTTCAAATTAAAGTATATTACATAAGCTTTAATTTAAGATATATATAAAAGTGTCAGTCTTTCCGGAACATTTTCAAAAGTTAAGTTGAAAAAGTTCTACTTTCTATACGCATTTTAAAAGGTTTGCACCCCCCCTGTATAAAGGGAAATGGTCCGATTTTAAAAAAAAGTATGTCGAATGAAAGAAGTATATATAAAGTATTTATCATTAAAGAATAAAGTTGATTCATGCATTTTTTAAAAAGTTATAGCAACATAATGTTAAAAAATGTAAAATATAATATCAAGAATTTTTTCACAAAAATAGCATATTTTTGCATACGGTAGTCATTTTCACCATGAAGACAAGTCCAGAGGTCAAATTTTTTTTTTTCAAATTAAAGTATATTACATTAGCTTTAATTTAAGGTATATATAAAATTGTCAGTCTTTCCGGAACATTTTCAAAAGTTAAGTTGAAAAAGTTAATTTTTTGTAAAAAAGTTACCATTTTGAAACCCCATCCTTTGGGCTGTTAAAGGGTCAAATGTTCACAAAAATATATAAAATGATAGGTAATTATCTAAGGTATCTATAAAAAAAAAAATTATATTGATTCGATCATTTTTAAAAAAGTTATGGCAATTTTAAGTAAAAAAAATTGAAAAAATATCGAAAATTAGCGATTTTTAAATTTGTAATTTTTTGGGGGATTTCCCCCGTTTACGGGGAACGAGGGAATTTTTTTCAATTTTTGAGGGTAATGTCTTCGACTAGATACGATTTGTGATCTTTTGACATATTGTTCATCAAAATCGGTCCAGCGAGAGCTGAGATTGAGCGTTCACAGACACAAAAAAAAAAAAAAAAAAAAAAAACACATCATAGTAAAATTAATACCTTCTCAGCTTCGCATCGAAGCTAAAACCATTTAAATAGGTCAATTATTTTGGTTACAAATTTAAAAACCCTAATTTTCGAAATTTTTTTAATTTTTTTACTTAAAACTACCATAACTTTTTTAAAAATGACTGAATCAATATAATTTTTTTTTTATAGATACCTTAAGTATTTACCTATCATTTGATATATTTTTGTGAACATTTGACTCTTTACCAGCCCACAGGAAGAGTTTCAAAATGGCAACTTTTTCACAAAAAATTAACTTTTTCAACTTAACTTTTGAAAATGTTCCGGAAAGACTGATACTTTTATATCTACAGATTTCCATCGAAGCGTTTTTTATGATAGTGCTTTTAATCACTGTCAGATATCATCTATACTTGTCCCAACTATACCACTTCCATATTGTGCCGCGGCCCCCCTGTGCTACCGTTTGTTTATGAACTACTACTTTATTACAATGTAGTGTACTTACTCAAGGCAGATAATTGTATAGTAAGTTTTAATCCGTTTCTAAAATTATAAAGATAAAATACAAAAAAAAAACATTTTTTTTTCGTTTGTAAATACTTTTCTAAAATACTCGCACATCTATTAAAGTATGCTATTATTAAATATTCAGTTATAATACTTTTTATTTCAAAAACATTTAAAAAATTTCCTATGTTTTACGTTGTAACGCCTAAATTACTTTTTTATGAAGAAAATAAGATTAATTTAAGTTTAACAAAAATCTTAAATTTAATTAAATTTTGATCTCATTAAAAAATGTTATGAGGAAATTTAGCCTCTTCTCCGAACTCTTACTTAACAAAGATTATAGAAAAATGCATTCTTTTATTATAATACTTTATATTTCATACAAAAATATTACTTTACTTTAAGATTTTTTATTTTATTGTAAAAAATATTTTAATAAAATTATTCAAAATTTTAATGCGAAGAGATTTGGATTCCATTTATTGAGTATCAACGTTACTTTGTTTTTTTATTAATATATACATAGATAACATTTATTGAACATTGATAAGATTTAGTTTTAGTTATTTTCAAAAATAACATGTAGTAAATTATATTTTTATTATCTTACAAAACGTAAATTTACGCGAGTAGGTACAGTTCATACTTGTGTAATTTTATAATGCATACTCGGCCCGCGCTACATACCCACTTTATATATTAAAATGCTTGCAACTCAATATATACTTATCCTAATGTTGTTATCTACGTAGGCTAAGAATGCAAAAATTTAAATAAATATTATAGAGAAATGATTAAATCAAATGTTATAAAAGTTGTCAGTTAGATCTGGTTTATTGTGAATTTTTTAATATGAATTGTTAATACTTTAATGGAATATACTTCTTTTCGAGATTAAACTGATGGTTAATTATTAAATAGTGTGAATGATGTTGATTCTATATTTAACATAATTAATGAAGGTTTATCCACTAACATGTTGAAAATTAATTATTGTACAACCTATGTCATTGAACTACGTAATATGAAACATAACGAATTATAATTAAGTTAATAATATTACTTAAATTGTTGTTTTAAATACAATTTTGTAACATTGTTATTAGGTAACTTTAAAGCTGGCCCAGAACCAGGAACCATCCTCAAAAAGCTGTGCCCAAAAGAACAGTTGTGCTTTCAAGTTTTAATGAAAGATATGCTCAGACCATTTGTTCCCGAGTACAAGGGTCATCTTACCACTGAAGATGGAGATCGTATCCTATTTATAAACCTCGACTAGATCATATTTTTGGTGTTTTCTTAAAATCAAACTGGTTTGATTGGGTTCATTTTGTATCGTAAAAATAACTTTATGACGTTTTTTGGAATTTGAAATATGTTTCTATAAATAAGTAACCTTCAACGGTGACGTTTCCTTTTATGACGTGTGTTCATTTTTTGTTCATGTTGGCTATATCTTACAACGTGAACTACTAAATCACAATTTATAGAATAACAACTAACTAAAAAGTGCTATCTGCTACAATTACCACTGCTAAGTTAAATATTGGTCATGTCCATGTTCCTTTGAATTCGGTCACACGTGCCTGAAGTCTTGCCAAGATGGTCATAATCATATAATACATTTAGAATTTAAGACGTGTGTGTCAATAATGCAATTTACCAACCAGTTAGCAAAATAATAGTTTTTAACTATTATATACGGTCAAAGTACGATTTCATAAACGATAAATGATTTACAAAAAATTCTTTTGAAATTCAATGATATCATAATGATGGAATTATTGTAATTTTACCCCTTTGAGTCTAATTGATTGTAAATTTTTAATTAAATTAGTAAATAATATATTAAGTTTTCCTAAAAATATTCCTCAAAAAAAAGAATGAAAAAAAATATGTGTTTAATTCATTTTTTCTTATTTTGGGGTAATTTTATCAGAAATTTTATGTTTAAATGTCACGGAATAGCACTGCTGAAGTGGCAATTTTTTTTCAATACAAATTCCTTCAAATCCATCGTGAAGTCTTATGCTATTTTATTGATGAACTTGAGAAATACAGAGAAAAAATAAATACGATGCATTACTGATAATAATTAAATGTTGCTAATTATGTCAATATTATTTACGGTAAACTTATTTGGATTATATATACTTTAAATACAGATAATTCAGTAATGTGCACTAGAGTATTTTAATATGAAATCACAATTTTTTTAATTTTTGGTAAATATTAATAGTATTATTGATTATTTTTAAAAATTTGATAAAAAAAAAAAGTTAAGAAGTGTCATTGGAGATTCTGTATTTTTCCTCTTTGATAGTGTACATTTAATTTGATTTCTTTATATTAACTTGGTGAAAATGTAATGTCAATTTTGAAAATATTTGAATTCTTTTTGCTGGATCAATATTTTATTCATTTATTTTTGAAGAAAATTAACTGAGTACTTTTAGAAAAGAGAGAAAATCATCCAAGTATTATTTATATGTGTTTTTTTATTTATTTGGTTTTAATTATAAAAATTTCAAAAAAAATATATATTACTATTTGTGCGTCCAAACTTTCAATTAATAACTAATTACATTTATAAAGTTAAACTCGTTTTTGTGCAAATATATATATATATATAAAGAGCTTGATTATTTTAACTTAATGGGCAATTTAGTGAGTAAATTGATTAATAGTAATAGTGGGTACTTTAATGAATTAAAATTTGTAATTAAAATTTAAATGAAAAAATGATGATTAAGTATGATCTTTAACTTTAATTATGCAGTATACCTACAGCTAGAAGACTTATTGGGAGACTTTACTACACCATGTGTAATGGACTGTAAAATAGGTGTCAGAACTTATCTTGAAGAAGAGCTGGCTAAAGCTAAAGAAAAGCCTAAATTAAGAAAAGTATGTGATCAATTTTTATTTGAAAATAATTATTTTACATAAGTTTCATTAATTTACCTTTAATAATTTATTTTTTACAGGATATGTATGAAAAAATGATTCAGATTGATCCGAATGCTCCTTCTGAAGAGGAACATCGATTGAAAGGTGTTACAAAGCCTAGGTATGGTATTATCATAGTATATTAATTGTATATAATTGATGACTATTATTTTAGGTAAATAAAACTAGGTAACTTGAAATTTTATTTGTACAGGTATATGGTATGGAGAGAAACAATTTCATCAACGGCTACTTTGGGTTTTCGGATCGAAGGTATAAGAAAAAGCGACGGTAAGTCAAGTAAAGATTTTAAAACTACCAAATCTAAGGAACAAGTAATTGAAGCATTTCGAGATTTTATAAATGGATTTCCACACGTCATTGTAAGCCATCTATCTTATTTTACTTTATATTTCCTATGATAAGATTTTATTTTTAGCCTAAATACATTAATCGACTGATTGCCATTCGAGATGCCCTGGAAGAATCAAAATTCTTTATGACACATGAGGTATGCCATATCGATATTATAAAATTCTTTCTGCCTTATAGAATAATTATTTTTTTACATTTTTTTCTATCTACTATAATTATGAGAATCTCTAAATGTGTCCTTAAATGTATAGACATAATTTGAGAAAAAAATTTTAGCAGGTCTAATTTAATTCCTCCCCTCTCAAAAATATGTTTGTATTAATATATCTAATTTTCAACATTTTTTTTGGGGGACTTTGTCAGAATTTAGGGGAATTAAATTATGCTTAAATGTTTAATTACAAAAACTATTAGTAAAAATCAAGTTAAAATTATATCTATCTTTAATTCAATCTACACATATTTCAACACTAGCCACGTAAAATATATTTAGATATAACGAAAGTTGGTTATATGCAGTGTGTTTTTTTAAAATATACTACTCCCTCCTCAATTTTTTGTTAAATAATGTTTTTTTTATAAAAATATATAGATTAAAAATTGATTTATTCTTTTAAATCATTGTAGATATTATGTTTATTATAAGATGAAATTATTTCTAATGGTAGATATTAGAGATAAATTTCAAAATATAAATGGGTACCACCTTTTTGTGTGCGTAAGTAATGTGAGAGATCGTGTTAAATGGTAATTTAAGATAAGTATGGACGACCCTAAGTAGTTGGGATCAAGGCGGTGAAAAAGAAGACGAAATAGGTACCTATTATATTTTTTCTATTAATTAGAGAATGGTCTAAATAAAATGTTGACTGGTCGATAACCAGATTTCTATTATTTCTTTTTGAGATACTAGCATTTGATGATTTTGAAAAGATAAGGATGGGGTAGTGTTAGTGATGCTCTATTTCTACCGTAACGCATAAATAAAAATTCTTTTACGATTCCTATTCCGTGTAGAATAAGGAGATCAAAATCGAATAATCACAATTCTATAATACAGTCTTGTAAAACATCGCAAACTAAATTCACTACTAAACTGCGTCGGTTACATGTAAGGCTATTTTTTATTATTTTTAAACGCTTATTATAACGATGTTTTTTGTTTTTAAATTTTAAATCGACTTATGAGCTAAAGAAATTCTGTTAATATCAGATTATTAAGCATGATTTATACTGTTAAAAAAAGTAAAAAATATTGATTTTTCCTATTTTTAGTATTGTTAAGTAAAACTATGAATTTATTTGAATTAATGTGGGAGGTATAACACGAAGACAACTGAACATGAAAGTCTTAAGAACCTTTAGATTTATTTTAAGTCTTTCCATAATATAAAACTTTTTAAATAATATAACTTTTATAAGCTTTAATAATTATTGTATTTTTATATTTTACATAATATCAATGTACCAATTGGTAGTTGCTTATGATACCATAAATGTGTTGCTTGAAGTGAAACAAGACAATCCATGAAAGCTTTAACACATTCATAAAAATGTTGTAATGCCACTCTTTATATACCATAAATATTTTTTGTATTTATAATTATGAAATTATATTTGAGAGTTTTATTGAGTAAGCGTTTAACTATCATTAAGCTGTGTATTTCACAAGACCCTAAATAAAAAGTATATGTCAAAAGGGCGAACAAAATGATTAACAGGGATGTCTTCAACTCTATATTTTATTTCAGTGCCATTTATAAAACCTGCTGCTCGAAGGAAGTGTACCTGTTCCTCTCTAGTAGTGGCCCTGTTCACAACAGTTACACAACAAAGACTATCAGTCATAATTACCTAAAAATATTTGATAAACTTATACTTGAATTCATTAATATTCTTGGATTTTTATTTTACAATGCTATTATATGTTACATATATAAGTTAATTATAAAAAGAATCATAGTCTTTAATAAAAATTTATTCTTACTCTATGACATTATAATTCTAAGAAATTTGTCATCATATTTTCATTGTTGTCTTGTAAAATTTCAAGATTAGTCTTAAGTTATTTATATTTTGATTTTATGAAAAATATTTAGAAAATTCAAATAAAAGTAATATTTTCTAAATAAAATTAAACTATATTGAAAATATTATTAATTTAAAAACTAAAAAATATTAAACTCAAAAGCTATTTTAGCGTTGATAATGGTAACATTGTTTCCGAAATACGTATCCGCGACTTTTCAGTATTTTTTATGGCTTTTGAGTTTAATATTTTTTAGTTTTTAAATTAATAATATTTTTAATTTTATTTAATTAATTAGCCACAAATGATCAATTTTTATTATATAATATTTTCTAAAACTGATATTGTTATTTATATCATAACTATAATAAAATTAAAATAATATTTATCTTTACTTTCATCAGGTGATTGGAAGTTCGTTGTTATTTGTGCATGATAACAAAAATGCCAATGTATGGTTGATTGATTTCGCAAAAACTTTAATACTTCCATCTGAAATAAAAATCAGTCATATGTCAGAATGGGTTGTTGGTAACCATGAAGATGGATATTTGATTGGTGTCAACAATTTGATAGAAATATTCGAAGAGTTAAACAGGGTGGTAAATCAAGGTGGTTTTCCTGAGACACTTATTGAAGTCACAGCACCATCTGAAATTACCTGAATTAGTTTTTAATATATAAATCATTGTGATATATGGAGAAAAACTTGTTAATAATTTATTCATTTAATTGAAAAGAATTTTATTTGATACAATTTTTTATAAAATTATTTTCATACTAGAAAATTTCATCAGTATTAAAATAATAATAAAGAAAAATTATCTTATAATATTAATTATATATTTTTGATGAATTATTTCAAGAAAACAGTATAATACAACAACTTGTGAAGATATATTCAAACATTCATATGATTATCATTGTCTAGATAAAATGTTCTATTATTTTTTGAACACAAGTTTTATTGTTATTTAACAATAAACTCATGTATAAAAAATTTAATATTCCATCTGTTCAATTCTTGCTAAATTATTTATGTTATGTTTCTTTATTAAAGATTAAACATTTTGTCTCATTATACATCTTATTTTAATGCATAAAGTCGTAAAAGCGTTTGAAAGAGTGTCAAATTTTAGTTTTATTAATTTTACTATAATTATTATATATTTTTGTACAGAATAATTTAAATAAGACTTGTGAGATAAAATATTGTTATATCATTTTATTTTTTATTTTACTGCGCACATGTATAATAAATTTGTTATTAATAATAATTTTTTTTTTTTAATTTTGTTTTTTGAATAGTGTTATGATTTTCATCATTTTCACTCTTTACTATTTGTATTTTGCGAAACAAAATCCTTATCACACAACTAAATTGGCCATGTATCTGTGTTATTATGATATCATTTTGTTCTTGGTGTTTATATAACTATTGCATTACACTTTAGATTTTCATTTTGTACGTTTTTGTCTTTCGTGCTAAATCAATTCCTTTAATTCGATTTAAAAAAGAATACATTCAATTTTAAATTAGTATTTCAATATTTACTCTAGTCATTATTAATTATTAATAACAAATGATTTATTATATCACTTTTGGGCAATCCTTTTTTTAATAATATAATATAATTTCACTTATTTAAATTTTTTTACAATAAAATTCTTAATCATACCCTAAAAATGTATTGGACTGTAATTTAAAAAAATATTAAAAATAGTTTTCACGGTACTTAAATTATGATTTTTATCAATTCACATAAATTAGATATAATTATTTCTTACTAAAAACTATATTTGTTTTATAAACTAAATAAAAACCATTATAATTACTTTAATAAAAATATTCATTCACAATAACATAATTAATGTAATAGCATGTTTTATTAATGTTATCAATATAATATCAATATTTTTAACTTAAGAAAACGATGAACCACAGCTGTTAATTAGAGGTGATTAGTGGGGGGTGGTTACTCTTCAATTTATTTTATTGTACCAACATTATATAAAATCTTTTCAATAATTATTGTACATAAAAACTAATCTATGATTTATTTCGAATAGAATTTGTCTATCTAGAAATTTTAAGTAAGTTTGCCATTTCTAATAATTGGTTGCATATACAAGTTATAAAATATTAATTATATTAATAAAGTGTAAATTAAAGGGGGTATGATAAATGTTTCATTATAATGTAGGATAGTAATAGTATGTGCTTAGCGTTGATAATGGTAACATTTTACCCAAAATACGTATCTCCAATTTTCTCAATTGGATGATTTTTTATTTTATAAGATAGATAAATATGTTATTATTTAACAAAATGAAGTTAACGCCCATATAAAATATAAATTTTGAATTAAAAAGTACTTATATTGATGAATCAAATATATGAACCAAAAAATTCTAAAAATAATTTTCTCAAAAAAATGATTATCATATACTATCTTTAAATTATTTTGTATCAAGTTATCAAATACTTTCATCGTGACATTAGAATTAGTTTTTCAGGTCTTCCTCCGTAATGTGCTGCTACAAATAAGTAGTTTAAACCAGTTTCCTTGACGAGTATGCTTTTAAGTAGATTTATTAATAGATGAAGAAATCGTGTTATATCGTCACCCCTTTTATTTTCATCATAATTGTAGTTGATAAGAAAAATGCGTTTACTGATAGTTAAATACTACTGTACGCATTAACATTTAAGAATTTTATTTGTACAATGCTTTTTAAATAAATTTATGTACAGTTAACTCGAACACACAATAGTAGTGTCGGGTCGATTTGTATATGCAATACATAAATATTGTCGTAAACAAAAGTATTTCAAGAGAAAAGAAGACTTACAATAATAATAAAAATAATAAATTAAAAAATAACGATTGCACATACAATGACTCGCATGTGCTTTTAACACAATCACATAGAGCCTGGCTAAAAGTTGTGTTAACTATTAAAAAATTTTTTAAAAAATGGTAACAATTTTTAAAGCGAAATGTTGCCGAGTAAAATTAATAGTAAAAATGGTAATAATAATTAATTATAAAAAAAATTTAATAGCTGGTTACGAGTCATCAGTCTTCAATGTTCAAACGAACATCATTGTTCTTCCCAGCTGCATTTTGTTGCGCCGGTTCTGTTACAGTAGGCCTAATAGAAAACCTTCTAATACGCTTCTTTTTAGGTTTTGCCAATTCTTGCATGTTGACTACTTCCGCATTGTTAACCGACATATCCTGGATCTACAGAATATGTGTTATTGAGAAATTTCAAATAAATCTATTAATTATAAATTATGGAAACCTTATTTTATTAAAGTTGAATTTTATTCGATTTGTTTATGTATTAATTTATATAATTCACTATAATGTCGCATTTTATCTAGAGTGACCTCGAATGTGTTATTTAAGTGGACAAATAATATCACTATCATAAATAAAGATATCGCGTGTTCAATTATTTATTTATATTAGTCAGTATTTAATGAAGTACTAATCTAGTGATTTTAAACTATTTCATTTCAAAACACACCTTTTTGATAATATCAATTCATTTTGAAATAATTTCCAATTTTAAAGAAAGTAATGCACGTAAATGAAAATAAAAATTACATTAAAGTAAAAAAGATTAACCCTTAGAGATTTATGAATTTTTTGCTAACGCTAAATTCATATTATTTATTTTGCATTTTATAAGCAATTAGTTTTTTCTCAAAACCCCCAAATTTAAAATAACAAAATATATGATATTCGTATAACTAAAACGAAAAACTAATTTTTTAGATCTAATACCATAGTATCTTCATCTAAATAATCGTGAAACTGAAAGTTTTATCTTTTATTACAAAGAGTTTAAAACCAACATATGAAAATGTTTTTTTTTTTTTAATCTTATTTTGTATAAAAAAAAATGTCTATAATAAGAATTGATCAATTCTGGCTATTAATATTTAAAACTATAATTATATAAAAAAATATTAATTTTAAATAAAAAAAGTGTGACCATAATTTATTTTTATAAATTTAATAAGTATTTCATTATTGAAAATGCAAAAATACCTTTATTGTTGGAATAGCTGCGGGTGCTGTTGAAGTTGTACTGGTTGATACCGTAGACGCTAATGAAGAGTATTGCCACGAATCACCAGATAACGATTGCCTCCTATCTTGAAACAGGGTAAACAACGGAGATCGGCGTTCTTCATGGTTGACCTTTTTCTGATCAGGAAATAATGATGATGATTTATTCAGTGATCGTTGCAGAGTGTATAGGAAATCAGCTACCGCAATAGTATTTGCACAGTGTGTAAGCACAGGGTCAGGACTCGATTGCCGTCGGGATCGTGATTCTGACGACGGGTAAAACGTATCATGGTCAGAGGAGAATGGTCTGTAGTCCACATTGCCATTTAGTGTTGAACCATAAAAATTACAATTTCCGTCATCGTTTAACGATAACCGATGTTTTGGATTATTAGTCCATTCACGCCTGTTTTTCTTAGCTGCAACCGCAGCAAACATCTGACCATTATGCCTATCAGTTTTGTCACTAAGTTTGTCTGATAACCATCTGGGAGCAATGTTGTGCGACAAGAAGTTGAATGCTGCTGCTGACATGCGGCGTAATCGTGGCACTCGCGGCTTTGGTGGACAACCACTAGCCCGATTAACACTAGTGCCGGTTTCTTTGGGCAATTTTGGGCATTTTATTTTCATTGGATAACTATTAAATCTAAAAACAATTGGTAAAATCAAGTTATTTTCTTTCTAGCAATAATGATAACGCTGTTAGGCCATATTATTTGGTGTATATTTAAGTTCTATTGAACTTAAATTATTATAATAATAATTTAAAAATTAAATATATTAAGTGTTAATTTAAAAATTGCCTTCGATTCCCCGATTTTATATATTAAATATACAAGATTTTATAAAACTTGAACTTTTTGATGAACATCAAAACTTCATCAAAAACTGTTACAAAACTAATATAAATGTCATTGCAGTATTTTATTCCTCCATAAAAGTATTAGACACGTTGAATATTTTAAACGATACATCTGGAATTAGTATTAATGATATTATCAATTACAGATATAATTAATATAGGGCAAGGATATTCAACATTGAATAAATGATTTGTTCCTTATTTTTTAATTAAGAAATTCATTTAAGTATATAAACAGTTGTTTGTTTTAATAATCTTCAAGTGCTACTTAAAGTTTACAAGGTCTAATAATGTATAAATGCGAGAATTGATGAACTTTGAACGACAAATATAAAATATATTTCCTAATTCACAAGAAACAAATAAGTTTTTACTTCAAGTATTTTAAAATTTCAAAAGAAATGTATTTAAAACATTTTTAACTTTAAATATATAAAGAACTTTACTTTCAACTGTAATTCCGCAATTTATAAATAATGATATTCTTAATTTGCTAAATGATAGTCAATGTTTAATTTAAGGTAAATGTGATTACGAAAGAGAAATATTAAATGCAATCGTTTAAATAACTTATTCATTTGAGTTAAATTAGTAATTGTGGATAAATAAATACTAACTTAAACGCAAAATTTTCTAAACATTTTATTTTAGTATTTTTTTACAGCGTAATTTTTATTATAAAAATAATCTAAAAGAACATTAATTATGGCTTCAATTTTTAATAGTAATCATACTTTTAGATTAAAAAACTATTTTCATAAAAAATTTTATAAAGGTATAATACTCATTAAAAACAAGACTTAGGTTGCTTAACAAAGTATTACTTTTAAGAGTCATTTTAATTTGAAATTTTTTAAGAAAATAAATTATTTGTTTATACTGAATATTGAAGCCACGAAATCATCATATCCTATAAACACAATACTTTTGGTACCCACTGACCTTAAAATAATATATTTATACAACTCAATAACTCATTAAATAGTTAACGTTTAAAAATATACGAATACAAATTTTAAATTTGATACACTGACTTTTTGTAACTTCGATTATCCGCTCCAGCCCATGTATCGTACTCAAAGTATGTACTTCGAGAGTGTTTTTCAGAAAATGTGGTCTCTCTATTAATCATGTCACCACCAATTGTCCATTCATTTTTTTCAGATGCCAGTATCTCTTGGGACGAGAATCCTTGAATACCTTCTGAAAACGACATGGCTTTTTTCTTGGTCTAACAAAATATAAAACAATTATCAAGTAAGTAACAGTTTTAGCAATAAAAATATTATATTACAATAAATATTTTTTAAAATAATTTAATTGATATAGTTCAAATGGAATTTTCAATAAAAATTCAATGTAAAGTTCATAACTAAAATTACTTACATTATTACTAACCGCGTAGTGATCTTGAACATCAGGTTTGTTGGGTACAGCTGTTTCGAGAGCATCAACTACTCTCGACAAAAGTTCATAAGAAGCTATATCAGCTCCAAATGTAGCCTCCTTATCAATATGAGCAAGGTCGATTTCAGATGTAGCTCTTACTCGTCTTATTAACGAACGCATCTTGTTTTGAGAAAGAGCTCGCCTACGTTTCATTCGGTGTTTTTCAAATCTTTTTCGAACTACTTCTTCGTCTTCTTCTTCTGAAGTCTTATCAACTGTTGGTAATGATAATTTTCGAAGTACAGGCCATTCTGTAAGATTTGGGGCACTTCTACTCCGTCTTAACGGTTGGCTCATTATTACTTCTCTTTTATACACAGGCTACACAAAAATGAAATATATTAATGAAAATAGTTTTAAATATAATTTGGCTAAATAAATAACAATTACTATAAAAAATATAAAATAAATACTCACTAAATTAATTTCCAAGCTAAGCAATTAAACATAAAAATACAAAATTTAATTACCCGTAATATTTGTTGAATATACACTGGAAAAATTCTCAGTAAAATCATCATATGTTTTTATCGAATACTCTTAATAATATGTTTGTTAAATAAAGATTATTTTTTATTTAATAAACTATTTTTTCTTGTTAATTAACAGAATATTTAATAAATTAACCAAATTTTTATTCTTCTAACAAAAAATTATAATTTATTTAACAATAACTTTAATGGACATATTTCAATAATGCTTTGTTGATAAATTTGTTGATTTCATCGGAGGATTCTTTCAGTGTAATTATATATTTTATTTTAATTTAATTAACACATTAATTTAAAAACATTACAGAATAATCAATTTTGGTTAAAATGCACAATTTCTTAAAAACTAACCAAAATCGAACATTTTGTAATTACATTGTATCATTTTAAGAAAAATGATAAAATATACATAGTATAATAATAAATAAACCTCATAAGTACCTATAAGTATTGATATTATACAGATCTTAGTACTAACTAATATTAAATTTATGTATCTTATAACCTTGGAAATAATTTGACACAAATATGTTTCACAGTTAACGCAATACCAAAACATATTTTCTAATGTCAAAATAATAGATTATATTATGTTCTTAAATAAAATTTAAAAAAATTGCCTATTTAAAATGCCTACGTTAAAAATGAATTTTTTTTTGAAATATTTTTATATTAAATTAAGGTTTTGTAGTAAAACTAGAGAGTTATAAAACGTAAGTTTCATTTAAATCGTTTTTTTTTTGCTCGATAAATAGAATTTCATATTGGTTTAATTTTCCTCTTATTTAATTTGCATTAACAGCTATTATGGTACAACAAAAATAATTAATCATAAAATCTAAACAAATAATTAGATACTATTAATGATTTAATTACTTTAAACTTCATTAAATATGATTCGTTGAGTACACGTCTAATATAGACAACATCTTTAGTAAATTGATTCCATATTTTAGAATGCGTTTGTTTGACTCGTTCTAGGAATATATGTTCTAATGTTTTAGAGCGCATTGCTCGTGATATGAAACTAAGTATCATGAATAAATAACCCAGTCCAAACATTATCCAAAATACTAAGAATACCTTATATGCATTGTACCATATATTCGTATTCACAGTCTGTCCTAAAAATTTGAAAGAAAACTTTTATTAAAACAAAGTAATAAAATAATAAATATTATTATTTACATTTAACATACTAAAAACTATGTTAAATGTAAGTGAAATGCAATAACAATGATATAAAAATATTTATAAATGCTTAAGTTTTAAATATATTGAAAATATTAGTCTAAACTCTACTGATAAATAGGATGTCCTAAATTTTTTATTGAGTTTATTCTTGAGATTTTATTACTATCTATTTTTTAATTACCGGCTACAAAATCGCCGTACCCAATGGTAGTTAATGTGACAAAAGCAAAGTAAACACTTTCGTCAAATTCCCATTGTTCAAAATGGGATATGACAGCCGAAGGAACTAAAATGAATACTATTATTCCCGGTATCAGATAAGATATTATATCGACTATCAGACTTAGCTGAGGGCCCATCATCCTTTGCGTCTTGTAACTGTAATGTGCACGAAGGATCTTCAAAAAATAACAATTACAATTAAAAATATTGTCAAAAAATCATAAATCAATCTGCATTGTTTGCTTACTCTGGATTCGAAAAAACTTCCAAGTTGATTTAAAACAATACCATTGAGGGGTATTCCTATTAAAGAATACACTAAAACAAGTATACGTCCGGTACATGATGTTGGATGAAGATTTCCGTATCCTAAATTAACAAAGTTTTAATAAGTACAAAATAAAAGTGTAAAATCCCACCACGATTGCAATAATAAACACATTAAAATATTTTAGGATTACTTTGATAGTTTACGTAAAGAGAAACTATAGAATTTGTATGAAATAACTTCCATTATTTATATGTATATATATTATAGAAATTTATAGTATACATTGTATACTGTAAATAGTACCGAACTTAGAAGTACTTATGAACATTATGTTTACTAAATAGAGATATTAATATAAAATTCAAACTATTAAAAAAATATTTAGCTAGTTAATAAATGTCCGTCCATAAACATTTAAATTGATTTGATAACCAATTTAAAGTTAAAAAAATAAACTATCGAATTAAATTGTTTCATTCCACTACTAAATAGTTGATATGTAAGATATCTTAGGAAATTCAAGCTAAATAATTTTATAAAACGAAAATTCAAATCATTCAATAAATATGATAAAAGTTTCATATACTCCCTTCATTATATTTTGTAGCATAAATCTAAACAATTTATTATAAATAAACTGCTCTTTAAAAAATTGATATAATCTTACCAATGGTACTTAATGTGGTCAAAGCGAAGAAAAAAGCATTATAATACGTCCATTGGTATTGGTGTGTTTCTTCAGTTATATCTTCTAAAACAGTCTTATTGCAAAATTTGTTCAGCTGTTGTATAAATTGCTTCTGTATGTAGGCATTATTTTGATTATAATGCTTTGCAAGAAGTTCTAATAATAAAAACAAATATGTTTGATTATGCTACGTAAAATTTCCTAAGAGAATGTTAATTAATTTGTTACGCTTTCTCAATAAAATATTTTTGTAAATTCTGATGAATCTTGTAATTATACCTGACCTGTTTTCGCGCATTGTATTGCCTATACGTTCTATTTAAAGGTATTTTTGTATTTAGTACGACACTGACAGGTTGGATTAGAGAAATTTAAACTTATCCCATCGTTCATTTAGAAGTTATATATTTGTGAATTCGTTTTTTCTTGAAAATTTTAGATAAAGCAGTAGCTTGAAATATTTTTCTTTGGAGGAATTAAAGCCCACAAAGACTTTATTAGTTCCATACTTTAAATAATAGAGTACAATAAGCTTTTCTGCCACATTGTCTATTTTATACCATATTGCAACATTTCCACCTCTTAAAAAAAATAAATTATGTTTGGAATTAAGCCCCCACTGCTTCCATATAAACTACGTTATATTTATATTAAATTTGTATTCCTTAGATATTTATTTTGATAATATACCAAATATTTTTTTATTATTATTATTATCATTTATATTATGCATCTCATATCGTGTAATTATTATCACTAAGCGTTTTATACACTGTATGTTATGATAACGTGTTCATTTCTTGTAATTGCATCATAATACATTTTGTAATGATATGCTCAAAATATATTTTGGTGTATTAATGAAAATATTGAATTTTTTTTTATAAAAAATAAACAATGTTTTTGTTTTATATATCTTAAATATATTGAAACAATAAACCTAAAAATCAAAATACTTAGTTAAATAAATCATCAAATAAATTTTAAAAAATCTAGATACTAAGTAGTCCAATATACCAAAAATATATTGTGTAATCATGCTAAGAAAGCAAAAATACCAACATAATGAATACAGTACAGTAGCAATTATAAGCTTGTTGAAATATAATACAGTAATTTTTCTTTTATTAGTCGATCATTTTCTTTATTATGAAAAATATTAAAATCTGTAAGATAACAATAAAAATGTTACTAAATCATTTTTTTTTTTAACTTATTATTAATTGATCTTTTTATTTAGGCGTATAAAAAAATTATAGATATCTAAGGCAATTTTCCAAAAACTAATATGTCAATTTTTAGAGAGCAAAACCATTAACAAATTTTTAAGAAATAAACAATTTTAAAGTGCAAAATACATACCCCACCGATAAACTAAATGTACCATTTTTAGTAAATAACAGATACAGACACTGATTAATTTGTCATTAGCCATTAGATTTCTGCTAAAATAATAATAATATTTAGAATTTTTTTGGTATTATTTAGTAGTGTTTTTTCTCATTATATTAGTGATTAAATATTTTTTAAGTCCACCCATTATCCTTTATAAACGTGTCTACTTTTTTTCTTAATGATAACATATATATTTTACAAGATTAATGTTACAAAATGGTCTAAAGAAAATTGACTGACCAATACCAATTTTTGAACTCAAGTTATTTATATATATTTTAAAATATAGAGTGGACGTGAGGTGCAAGTTTTGTATTTATACGCATCGTTCTCCTCTCACTGATGTATAAAATATTGATTCACAAGTTGTTATAGACCAGTCAATTTTCTTAGTTAGACTATTTTGCAACATTTAATCTTGTAAAATATGTATGTTGTCATTAAAATGAAAGTTGATATCCTTATAAAGAATAATAGGAGGATTTATAAAATATTTAATCACTAATAAAATGAGAAAAAACACCACTAAATAAAACCAAAAAAGTTCAAAATATTATTATTATTTTAGCAGAAATCTAATGGCTAATGACAAATCAATCGCATGTATTTAAAGATTTCAGAGTTGGGACAATTTTCCTTGAATCAAGGTGATTACATTGTCATGTTAAACGATCAGAATTATGAAACTGGCAAATACGTAATTCTTTTTTAAATTTCACTTTCTATTATTAGGTATTAAATATAATTTGTGTCAAAAAAACTAAATTATATTAAATTGAGTACCATGGTAACTTATACATAACTTCCCATATACTTGGTAAAACATGTCACTCGTGCATGTATAAATTTTAGTATGCATTAACAAAAATAAATAGATATAATATACCGTTAAGAACTATCAAGGATATACTATTAGATAAAATATATAAATTATTACTATTTGATAAATCATTGACAAAAATACACTGAATATTTTTATTGATTTTTTCATTTATTATTTACTATGTATTAAAAATGTTCAGATTTGTATATTATACAATAGTTTCTATTAGTTAAGTAAGCTATCGATGTCCAAATGAAATATTGGTTATGATTACAAGTTTAAATAATATTGGGGCAATCTGAGAGTCTAAAAATCTATAGAGCATAGTAATTGTGACAATCCAGCTTGCTTCATAAAAATAAATAATGAGCAAAAAAACAAAAGTTATAATCGATTTTACAAACCAGAATACGTTAATCGTAGCGGCTCTCATTACTCTATAGACAACGATCTAAGAAAGCAATAGCCTTATTCCCTTAGTGGCCAGTCTGCTTTTGAATGTTGTAAAATTATTAAAGAAAACAATCATTAACTTAGAAAGACGGTATCTATTTTTGTTCAGAGCGGCAAAATGCTATGTGTTGGTACTGGTTAAATAACCAACAAAAATTTTGATCACCATAATCTCAAAATTAAAATTATATCACTAAAACCAGTATTATTTTAACAGTTTCAATTAATTATAGTTGTATATTAATAGTACTAAAAAAAATCCAGTTATGAAAATATGTTTTAAGTGAAATATTTTTGTCAACATATAATACAAAAACAAAACGAAAAATTGCATCAATAGTAATAAAAATCGTTTAATTTTATTTTATTAATAACGTAAAACAATAATTATTAAAACACAAATATTCATTGAAAGCGTTATATTTTAATAATTCTATTGAGAAAATTAAGAAGCCTTTAGCACTTTCTTATAGTACTTATAATAATAAGTTATATTCTGAACCCCATATACCGTTTGAACCAAATTAAAGATATCGCCATAATATATATAAAAGTAAAATAGAAAAAAAATTATCCGATCCTTGATGAATACTTCTTCAATTAAAAGAGTACTATAAAAAAATTATTTTCATTTTTATTTTAGTTTCTTCGCTAGAAGCCTTACTAGGAGTTTTAGTTGATAAACAAAGAATAGAAGAATTAGTTTTTGTGGAAAATATAAAACTAACAAGCATTTTTTTTGAATAATTAATAAAACGGTGAAAATTTTAATTTAAAATTACATGCCAAACTAGTAAAAATAATACATTGAATATAAATATAAAAAATAAATAAATAAAAAAAAAACACATCATAGTAAAATTAATACATTCTCAGCTTCACATCAAAGCTAGAACAACATAGTGGAGACGCCGCATAATTGAGACTAATATATATAATATCTGACAATGATTAAAATTGGTATCATAAAAAACGCCGCTTTGATGAAAATGTTTAGATAGATTTTTTGAAAGAACTGTTAGATTAATCCAAAAGCAACACTAACTCCTATTTCCTTATTTATATCCTAATTACGAGTTTTATGATTTATAATTATATTTCATGAGTAAATACTTATTAGATATAACAAATATCCATACAATACTAAATTATTAGATATCAAATCCAATAATTTAGTATCATACTTTTTATGGAGAATTTATAAAACATTATAATATTGTTGCATATTTTGTTAACTCTATAGCAAATGTGTATCAACATTTATGGATTTATCAAAAAAAAAAGAAAGTTAACTTAATTCGATTATTCTGAATTCTGTTAGTTAATTTCTATTGGAATAATGAAATTAAAATTGTTATTTATTATAAGCCATTAATAACTTAGATAACATTAATAACTAAGCAACCTTTAATTTACTTAGATTGACATTGAAAACTGCAAAAATGCTCCCTGATAATATTTATAACTAACACCAGAAATTTCTTTTATTTTTCATTTTTTTATAAAATAGACGATTATATGGAAGTACTTATCTTACCTCCTATATCACTATACTGTTTGACCTAAATTATAGACATAATTAAACATAAATAAAAATTTATATATAAAAGATAAGTCGCCGGGAAACTTTTAATGCTTTTAAAGCTTTAATTCAACATATGTTTAAAGTACGGAGTATTTATGGAACATTTTCAGAAGTTAAGTTAAAAATTTTCGTGCAAAAGTTGCTATTTTGAAACCCCCACGAGCATGTAAAGGGTTACATTTAAAAATATGCAGACCTAATAAAAAGGAAACGCCTAAGATGTTTACGAAAAAAATTATTTTGATTCATCAAATTAAAAAAAAATTAAAACTAAAAAAGTTGTTTAACCATTCCAGTCCTGACACCAGAAAAAATGAATAGAATCCATTTTGTTTTTCACAGGCTATTTAATTATGAAGCAAATAAGTACTAAAAAAATTTTTTTTTTTAACCCAATTTCCCCCTTTTTTGACCAGGACCAATCGATAGCAAACTGTGGGTCGAACTTTTGATCAAACAGACGATCATTTATAACAATAGAAATATTTGACCCTTATACTAACCTATTAGGTAAATATATTTACCACATATTTAAACAACATCAACCACTAGTTGATCGTTAAATTGTATTATTAAAAATTGTTAGGTATAATTTGTATTTTATGTTTTATTAACTATATTGTTATCGAATGCATTTAAAACTGCATTAATCTTTCTTAAATAAATGCATACGTTTGCATATTTAATTATTTTGATTAATCATGTAATATATAGTAATTAAAAATAAATATTTTAATATTAAAAATCATGTTATATAAATTCAAAAAAGTTTATTTGTATTATTACAATAAATTGCAAACAATCGTACATTGAACAATAAAATATTGGCCGTATACTTAATAGAACAATAGAATCCGTTTGACGAACGTTTACGTTAGAGGAACAAAAGAATTTTGACCATTTACTTAATAAAACGATAAAATCCGTTTGATGAACAAATACGTTCATAATTTAGAGCAAAATTTAATTCACTTTAATAAATATTTATTATTTATATAATATTTATATTAATAACTTATGAGCTGAGATGGTATTATTTTTACTATGTTATTTTTATTATAAAAAATTAATAAATGAAAATAATAGTCAAATTTTCATATTTAGCAACCCAAAATATTATTGAAATCATTTTTGAATACTTATAGTTACGCTTCAGAATAAAATAATACTAAATATAATTATAATAATATAAAAATAATAATATATGTAAATCTTTTTACACAATGTAGAGGCGGCATCAATTATAATGAAAATATGGTTTTCAATAATATTCAACAATTTTAATCATTTAAATGGAAAACAAAGATCGTTTTTAATAGTGTACAATCTCGATGACGTATGATTTAATACAACTACACTATGTAAGATAAATTAGATTACTTTTATTTAATTGTGTCATAAGTAATATCTTTAAAAATACATTTAGTTATACTTCTTTTTTTAAAACTTTTACTTTAATCATTAAAACGTAAACTTATAGAAAATTATTCATGTAGTCGAATTTCAACGAGCAATATTCAAAATACATGTGATTTTAATTATTAAAGTTTAATCGCTATATTATGGAAAGGTATTTTTTAAACTATTAAATTAATCTAAAATATAGTAAAATACTTATGATGGATTTTTCATGCAAAAGTCTTTTGTTTTATATGTATTTACTTCAATTAGTAAGTTGTAAGTACCTAGATACTATACTAGTACACACTACTTATTAAAATATTTTATCGACAAGTAACTTATTGTTATCACTGACACGTTTTTATGTACGATAGGTTGATAAACCATTATACATATAATGTCTTTATTGCACACTAACATACTTTACTATTTATTAGAAAAATAATTGTCAGAAAATTTAAACAATGCGAAGTTTTTCAATTCAACTAACCTGCTAGTTCGAGCTGCTCCAATTTTTCAAAGGCGTGTCGTCTTTCTTCTTCCCTGCGTTCTATTCGGTAAAAAACAAAAGCTCCTAAACACAAATACCCAACAAACACTGAAAACCCAACAAACCATCTTCCGATCATTGCTAACGGTCATGTGACCATTGCCATGAAAAATAGCTTAAATAACGCCTTTTAAAATTGTATTTACGCAAACTACAACTGATTTTTGCCCGTTATATTGTCACTCTGCACTAAAGTTTATTGGTTGAAGAATTGTTTATATTACACTTATATTTAAAATATATCGATGAAAAAAGTTCAATAAACGTTTAGTTTTTTTTAATTTATTATTTAAGTCTTGGATTTTATTAAAATAAACCGTTTTTAATGAGGACGGACGATTGTTTAAAAACATACATCGAATGAACGCAGTTCGTTTTGTGAATCTCTGGCGGCGGCAGTGGAAGCCGCGATGACTCGTGTACAGCTGACCTGAGATAAGACACCACAATATTAGTCGACCGAATGATAAAGGTGACATAACTATTTCAACTTTAAACTGTTATAATTAAATGATAACACTTTACTAGACATTCCAACTGATGTTTTATCATAGAAGTTCGGTATGAACGCTACTAGAACCATATTTCTGAATCTTTTTTTAAATACCAATCGTTCTCTATTCTTACCCGGGGCCATTTAGTATATGAATGAATTTATTATTTTCCATAAATGAAAATACAAAGTATTGTTAGCTATTTTATTTTAAGTTATAACGTATAAAAGTTGATTACCTTGTATTGCAAGTTTTCATCCATTTATTGTTCCCTATTCTAAGCTTATGTCCATCTTTTACCTACAATATATCAGTATATATTAATCTTATAAAACATTAAACTTAGGTGTCTAATCAATGCTCGATATTGCCGCGGACTTCGTGTTTATGTAAAAAAATGAATCTTTAGGTAATAACACTAAGATATTTTTTTTAACAATATTAAATAAAAAAATCAACTATTAAACAACTATTGAAACAACTCATGAAAAATACCTTCAGTTAAACATTTACTTGATAAAAGTTATTTAAAAAAACCATGCCTGCGTTTATTTTATTTTGTCCTGTGTAATACAAACATTTATTCATGAACAAATGTTTGTATTCCTTATACTCACTGGTGTACGCAAGAGGGGGTTTTGGGGGTTGAAACCCCCCCCCCCAAAATTTATAAGCTAAGCGACAATTTTGAACCATAAACAATAAGTAATAACTATAATAAAGATCATATCACACTATAAATATTTTTACAATAAAGTAATCGAAAACAGGAATTTTTGTAAGCGAACAATATGGGCAGTGTCACATTTAATTTTCTTTAAATTTAAAAAAAAAAAACCCAAATTTAATTTCTGTGTACGCCACTGCTTTTACTAAATAACTTGACTTAATTAATATTATCTTAAAACAAAATATAATATATAATTTATTGAGAGAGTATAAAAATTTGGCTACATAAATCTATTATCTAGCCAAATTAAAACTAATGACTAATATAAAAAAAAGGTAGCACAATGGGGTCGCGGCACAGTGTAAGCGTGGCATAGTTGAGACTAGTATAGATGATATCTGATAGTGATTTTAATCACTGTCATAAGAAACACTTCCATACAAATCTGTAGATAGTGTTTAATTTTAAGAAATTGGTGGATTATTGAAAAGCAAAATTCTAACTCAAAAAAAATTATTGAAAAATTGCAAAAAAATCATTGTCTTGGGCAATGATTTTTATTGAATCAAAAGACGTTCGTCGCATTTGTTTTTTGATAAAACAGGCAATTAAAGCTGATTCAAATGTTAAAATTAATTTTTTCGACTTTAAAGAAAAAAATAATTGAAATAAATTTAACATTATATTCTATATCAATTAGATTTATATAATATGCATGAAAATCATTTTACCCCCTTATAAGGTATTTTAAAATAAATTAAAATACAATACCAAGAATTTTAACACATATATAGAATGTTTTTTAACTACGGCAACCATTTGCATATAGAAGATAAGTAGTCGAGACAAATTTTTTTTTGAATTTATATTACATAACATTAGCTTTATTTTAATATATGTTTGAAGCTCGGAGTATTTCCGGAACATTTTCAATACTTAAGTTGAAAAAGTTAAATTTTAGTGCAGAAATTGCTATTTTGAATCCCCCCTATGGGCAGGTAAAGGGTCAGATTTTCAAAAAATTTATTTCAAATGAAAGAGAAATATCTAAGGTTTCAATATAAAAAATAATTATTTTTAGAAAAGTTGTGGCAGTTTTAAGAAAAAAAATTGAAAAAATGTCGAAAATTACCAATTTTTAAAATTGTAATTTTTGGGGGAATTGCTCCCATTTACGGGGAACGAGAGGATTTTTTTCAATCTTAGAGGGTAATGTCTTCAACTTGATACCATTTGTGATCTTTTGACGTATTGATGAGAAAAATCGGTCCAATGAGAACTGAGAAAAAGTAGTGACAGACACACACAAAAAAAAATAAACAAATCATGGTAAAATTTATATCTTCTCAGCTTCGCATCGAAGCTAAAATACACGTAAAGACAAACAACAACTACGTTTTGAATGATTTTTACAGTATATCTTATTCTATTAGATAAATGTTGCCATTTTTTAACAAGATAAAAACTAATTTATCTAAATTTGGTTATATTACTCTAAAAAATTAGCAACAAATACAAATGCTTTATTAAGATTCGTGAAAAGTAAGTGCATAATTATGATATGATATATCTACCTATAACAAAACTTCATCAATATAGAAGAAACTCGTGTAATGTTTTAAAAGACACTTGGGTTTATTTTTATTTTTTGACAATTATTTTATTGATGTAATATAACGACAGCTACAACCATACAGCTACTGCCAAGTTTTTATGAGACTGGTTTTATTATCCGGTTATATTCAGAAGTTCGCATAAAAGTCATTTAATACATATCACACACCCATAACATTGAACAACCCACTCTTTCCGGACAATAAATGTAAATAAATAGTATATTATAGTGTTCATACAAGAACATAGTAAATTGAACAAAATTATCTTCATTATAATATAATTCAAAATATAAAATAAATAATTACACTGTTAAGGGATAGGCTTCAATTCATTATAATAATATAGTTATAGAACTATTTAGGGTTTTATTTATTCGTGTTAACTAGAATTAATTATGTTCAAAACAAACTAATCTAATAAAATTTCCAGGAATCAATATAGTTAACTAAACAATGTACTAAAAATATAAATAGAACACAGTACGTCTAGACACTTAAATGTATCATATTTATACTTATTGGTAGATTCTTATTAATTAAGTACAAATGGTACGTCAAACCAATAAACGTTTGTGGTGGTTTTTAATAACGCAGCATTTACACACCAAAATTAGAACTGGTACGGCGTAGTTTTACTGGCTTTCACGCTATGGAATACATATTAAATAGAATTATAGGCTAAGCAGCATGTATTTTATATAACTAAAATATTATAAACTGTCAATTTTATTGTAGTTTATTTCCATGAAAATATACATAAGAAGTATAAGAAGTATTGAAAACCTGATTATAAAGGAACTAGAATCTAGTACCTTTAGAAAAAAATTTACCCCATGCTTTCTATGGATTGTGAAGTCTAGGTCATTTTTTGAATTTAAATAATCATTACTTAATTATTACAAATAACTTACATGTTAAAAATAATCATTTAAAAAAACATCCACACACCTCTTAGATAAATAAGCATTTAACGCACACCTAGGAAAAAGGTTACAAACTATGAATCAAAAATTGTTTTATTTTTGGTATGGAGTTGTTTCCTGGTTTTTTATTTTGAAAATAAGGTATTTATATATAACCGTATTTATGATTTTGACATGAGATATTTACATGAATATTGACGCCACCAAATTTTTTTAAAATTGCCTTTTAAATATTTTTCATGTTGAGCAAAAAAAAAAAGTCAACATTTTATACAATATGCTATAAACATTATACTACAATAGTATAATAATAATAAAATTATACATAAAAATGTTCCATTTTAAAACTTTCACTTAGCTATTGCCCTTTTAATCAATTTTCTATAATAATTATGTATAAGAGATCATGTCGTTCAGTTGACTCCCATATTAAGTGTCAAACCCATCCAACTCACAAAATTATGAGTTGAGCCGTGTACAATCATTAAATAAAAATAAAAATATTTATTTGATGCCACAAAATTAACAAATAAGTAAGTGGTATAAATCTTATAAACCTTACCTTTCAAAGTTATAATCTTTAGCACTTTCATTTTTTTTATTACCAAAATCATACATTTTTCATTTTATTTAAAAAATTCCATTAAATAAATTAAATTTCAATAGACAAAGCAAAATTAAAAATTGGTGGGTTTATTATTTTTCTTAATTATGTAATACTTGAATCAATAATCTTAATTATACTATAAATTTCTGATTAGATTAAAGTAATACTTTGTATTGTTATATTCATTAGTATTTTAAGGGAAAACATTGCTTTTCTTTATGAATAGTATATTGTAGTACATAAAATTTTTTTAAATTTAAAAACTTTGAAAATGACAATTTATATTAAAATATATAAATTTATATAAATAAATTCTTATTAATAAAAAATGTATTGAACAAATTCTTTAAATTAGGCACGAAAAATCTATTATTTCTCACTTAATTTTAATAGTATAAATTAAAAAAAGAAATAGTATTAAAAAATAAAAATTAAGGAAATTTATATTTAAAAAAACTATTATTAAATTATTATTTCTCGTAATTCTTAACAAATAATGGAAATTTTTGTTTAACCTAATAATAATTGTTTAACTTTAAATTAATGATTAATTTTACGATTCGATGGTTTTTATTATTTGATTGTTTTTCTAACTGAAATAAAAACTGATTTTGTTACATTTATATTTTAAATTTAAATCAGGGAAAACTGGTATTAAAAATTGACCACTATCAACCAAGGACACAAAATATAATTTTCTTAATTTATGTAATAACTTAACTAAGTAAAATGGTTTTATCTGCAAAAATGATCTGTTAAATTTTACTTTATATTGCTATACATGCCAAAAAAATGTTGAATAATATTTGAAAACCAGTTGGATTATCTTGGCTTTTAACATAAATTAGTATAATTAATTTTTATGATTATTACCTATTATAAATATTTGAATTTATATACTAAATGTACACTATGACGCGAAGTTAGGTTATAGTTCACTGATACTTGTTTTTTATAAAACGTATGAATGCTTTGTAAACAAATTAATAAAATAATAGAATCAAACATATAACTGCATTCTATAAATTTTATTTTATCATTAGCTTTACAGTTTTCTTATGAACATATTATCTGACACTCGAAGTCAACGTTTTTTATCAACATAGTTCTTTGGTATATTTTGCAACATTATTGTCAAAGTAAAAAATATCTAATAAAATGTTAAGGATAGTTTTTTTATTTGATAAAAACATTTTCATGAAAAATAATTTAACAAAATTATATAAATAAATGATGGTTTAAATGACTATAAATTAATAATATAACATTGACATTATTAATAGTTACATAGTATAGATCAGTTGAAGGATTTGTATAATGAATTTTTACTTAGGATTCCAAAAATTTATTTAATTTTTCGCCTGATGCGTCATAAATTTTGACAAGTCGTGACCATTCATTTGGTTTTTTATTTTTTAAAGTATTTAGTGACTTTTTGATAACGGCCTTTTGTCTATGAGTGCAACCATCACAGGCATTTTCTGCAATCACTGGAATCACTCCTGTAATAAAAAAAATATTTTAAAATATATTTAATATTTAAAATAATTTTGAAAATAAAAATTTATTTTGAAAACAATAAATATATTAAAATTGTTTTAATAATTTGGGAAGAATTGTTTAATGGTAAACAGTAATGTAGTCAAGATTCTCATTTAGGAAGGGACATAGTAAAAAAAAAAAATCGCCAACTAACTCATATTTTCGTGTTCAAAATATGGTTTTAATAAAAAATTACCAATATTTTTGTTATATTTTACTTATCACTGCATTTTAAATATTAAAATATTAAAAATAAATAAATATTGCGGCCATTGGGGGAATTATGGACCTTATGGAAAGCCCATAAGTTCCATATAAAATGTTATTCTAATTAGATATGATATATTTTTCAATGATAAACCACACTGGGCATGATAAAAATTAATAATTAAAAAAGCTAAATATATGATAAAACTAAAAATTATTCATTACGTTTATTTGGTTAATACAGCACATGCATTTCTTGTAATAGGTTAATTAAATTAAAAATATCTCCAAAATAAAATATTACAGATATAAGACAATAATAGTTTTTCCAACATTATTTAGTGTTGTTACAGAAATTGGATTAAAATTACTATGTTAAATATTAATTTAAAATGGCCGAAATGACGTAAAATAAAAAAACAATGTTTGTCTGCTTAGTAGTCATATACAACATCACTAAATTTCTTAAATGAGTTAATTAAAATGATGATTAAAATGATTAAAATATTTTTTACGATCACTATTCTAGGCAATTAAAATTTTACTAAACAATTTGTTAGCTTTTTATTTTTGTTATAAAGGGTTTTTAAAAACAATTCATAATAAATTAATAAAATTAATAATTAATTTTTGAAGTGCAATTTTTTCCCCCCAATTCTTAATTTACAATAAAACTTATTTTTATTATTTTTAAATTTATTTATCATTATCTATTCATCTAAATACGATACTAGAGACAGACCTGAAAGAGAATAGAAAAATAATTCCTAAGAAAAACCTAACTGTATGATAAAATTTTAATTATAACCTAATTGTATAGTATTAAATAAATTTACTAATGTAACTAATGGCCATTGCAATCAAAGTTGCACTTTAATTTAAAAAATATATAATTTTTTTAATTGATTATTTTATTTATAACTATTACACCATTTTCGAATTTATTAAACATTTTTATTATTATTACCAAGAAGTATTTTTTTTTAATTTATATTATTTTAAAATGAAAATGTACTTTAAATATTAAAGATCATAAATTTTATCAGCAAAACTATTTTAAAATTTAATTCATTAAAAAAAAATTGCTATGTTAATAAATTAAACAGGAATCACTCACTTTTTAGATCTCTTGATTGTTGCACACATGGTCCTTCATTGAGGAAACATTTAAGATGACTGCTCAACACTCGATCGTTATTTAAGATTTGTTCTACATTAATTTTGTCGAATCGTTTCATGTATGTACCAAGATCTTTAATGTCATCGTCGGGATTAGCTGAATCGCCTGGAGCAGCTACACAAGCGTAAATAACGCAAGACAACAAAACAAACGTCTTGCAGACCATAGCGACGTAATGATAATGCCGTGAGTATTAGTGAAAGTATATTTTGTAATTTTTGTATTTGTGAATTGAACGTTGTGATTAAAGTGTTTCTTCTGAACAAGTGTTGCTGATATCTGTGGACAAATCGACTTTTATAGGGGCACAGGATTGTGTCGGATTTTCCAGTTGAATTGTAATCAAAGTCAAGGTCATCATGTTTTTGAAAATTACTATTCTTGGGTAACTTATACATACATTTTATTCAAAATATCTATACTGTATCATATGGTGTAAATAATAATATAATAATAAATTTATTTAGATTGAAATAGTCTATTAAAATTTAGAAAAGACAAAATGAGTGTGTAAAAAAAATTTATCTTTTAATGTGTTATAAACTGGAATGCCACAAAAAAAATTGTTTATCAATAATCATTAAGTGTAGTAAAAATAGTTAAGAGTTGATATTTATTTGAATAATTAAAGGAAAAATTTTAACATAATTTTATATAAAACAATCGTTGAAATTTACAGTATGTATCAAAATCAGAATTGTCATGATAATTTTTTTGTAATAATTACAGACTGTACTTTTTGATGCTAAGTTAAATTTTACCTTTTAAAAAGATATTAAAAAAGAGTGATGTTCAGTTATTAACACTGTGTCTTAAAGATTTCAAAAATAGCTAGTACAATTATTTTTTTGATAATGCGTTTAAGTCTCTGTATAAAATCTACAATATCTTATAAAATCTACAATATATATAGCAATTTTATTTTGCGGATAGTACCAATTCTTCGCTTTTAAAAAACTGAAATTTTGAAATTTTTTTCACAGAATTTTATTAAAAATAAAAAACACGCTGTATATATAATTATTTTATCCACTTATCTTAGTGCACAATCGGGAAGTAATATAATCTCAAGATTTCGACAAAGTGTTTAAAAATTAAGAGAACTTGAAAATTTAGATTTTAAATACTAGATAATATAAAAATGTTTTGTTAAGTTCTGTACTGAATAATACTAGAAATTATATAATAATTATTTAATTAAATGAGTTACAGCGTATAGAGTTAACACAATAATTTTTTAGTTCATTAAATTGCAATAAATAATATCAAATAATACCTTATTTTGATAACTAAATTTTTTTTACTATAATTTATAAAAATAATGGAATACTATTGAAGTATCGTTGAAGCGTAAATCAAATATATGTGATATTAATTAAGGTAATAACATGGGAAAAATATATTTTTTGTTTTTTTTTTTTAATTTAGAAAATATAAATGGAAACAATCTGGTAAAAAATAAAATAAAATTTCAGTAAAAAACAAAAATAATATAAAAAAAAATTACAAGCCTACGCGGTATAGATAAACGGCTTTGTCCTCTTGTAAAATGTAGTATCTTTCCCTTACCATTGTCTTTATTATTTACATTATATTGCCACACGCAATGAATAGGGCACCGACTCAAAAATTTCAACTTTTAAATTATGAGGTATTTGGATTTATATTTTATTATTATTATAACTTTCATCAAAATATCGAAAATTAAAATTGAATTGGAACTACCTAGAAATTTGATAAACATATAGCGTGTAATCAGTGAATAAATTTTATTTTTGATCTCCTGAAAAATAAGAAAAAGTGAGTTATTGCCATATTTGTTGCGCATATCGATATAATCTAGGCCTTTTACTCATTAACTGCCTGTTCTTGTTTTTGCGTTTTGAAATAGATAGCGCTTTTCGGTTCCTTGTTGTACCATAACATAATGCGTGTACGTACGAGTAATCGAAAGCGCCATCTATCTCGGTACATACTCGAATTTATATTGCTTGTAGATCAGTTTATGATAATATTGTAATACAGTGGGAAGTAGCTTGGTGATTATTTTATTTGTAACTATTATAATCTCTGTCTAGTACTTTTCTGATTTTCTATTTCTGAAAAAGTTGATAGAAAAATTTAAATAAAACAATTTCGCATACTTTGACTATGCAATAAAAATAATATCTATATTTTGTGATTAAAATTAAAGAATAATTTATAAAAATGTTATGATATTTGTATTTTTTGGTGAGTTTAATACGTTTAAAATGTTAATACTATAATTTGATAAAAAAACATGTTTAAAACATTAGTTAAAAAAAAATTCTAAAAATCAATTTATGAAATAATATATTTTTCAACAACGTTGCTTCTAGTTATCATATTTATGAATACATGTTATTTATTATTTGAGAAAATGGAGAAATCTACCTATGCACTATACTCTAAAAATAAAAGCAAGCATGTTTATATCTTTCACCGATTATTTTAGATAAAATGTCTCTAAAAGCAAAAAAAATAATGCTTAACCTTCAGGGAGAATATATGTAAAATATATTTTCTCAGCTATAATGTTATGATGTCATAAAAAATAATATCTGTAAACATGATGATCGAGGTCTGCTAGTCTTGCACATAAACACATTCATCTGATACCCATGTGACATGTGTTTATGTGCATTATTACATTATATAATTAAATTATATACATAGTGGAAACATGTCCGGGTAATTTATTATATTTATGATCAGGACACGCGGAAATACAATTTGTTTTATGTCCTTTTAAAATAATTACAATTAGAGCTATTAAATAAAAAGTATATATGAAGGTACATTAATATTATTTAGGGCTGTACTGATGAATAATAGTGTCTTAAGTTACTGTAAAGTATAATCTATAATATATTATAATGGCGCTTTAATTTAACGAAGACAATAGTTTATTTTTCTTAATATCTTTGGCTTAAAAAAATTAAAAATAGTTAATAAAATTATATAGCTATAACTTTTAATTTAAAAAATCTTGAAAAAAAAAATTTCACAAATTCAAATTGCAACATTGAACGAGTGAGTTAAACATTGTACAAACAAAATAATAATGCATGTTTTGTGAATAAAAAACGCTGTATTAAATAAAATAGTACAATTTCTTTGTATAGTATTTGACTATTTTGTCAAAACGTGATGCCTTATCATTGATAAATTTTTATATATGTGGACAATAATAAGAAACATATTTTATCTACTAACACTAAAAAAATTACAAGATATTAATATATTGAGTATTTTTTGGTGCTAAAGAATATACAAAATTTTAAATTTTCGTTTCAATTTAAGTACCACTTAGCATATTTAATATGTAAATTTGTTTGTTATTTCTTTGTAAATATTATTTGTATTATAAATATTTATTGTACTAAAATTAAATTCCATCTTAAACGCAACTAAAATTAATTTGAAAAGATAATTTTAATATTTTCCAAAAAACATATATTTTATTAAATATATTTAATTTGTCTAGGAGAGATTAGGCCACCTTGTTCTCTAGTTAAAAATTATACTTGTACTTTTAAAAATTGTTTATAATAATATACAATTATAGTAAAAAATATATATATTTTTTTTATATTGTCTATGATTAAATAAGTGATGTTTAAAAACAATGTCTATCCTTAACCCTCAATAAAATTGACATATAAATATAATAGAAGTAGCAGTTTTTTTTATTAATAACAATTACAATGAATGTATACACAGTTGCACTACAAGTAATTGTTATAACAATTTTATTTATAAATGACACGTATAGCAGAATTATAGCCGAAAAAACACCCCAATATGGTTAGTGAAGAGAGTTACAAGTGGGTTGGCTTTGGATTTTAGTTTGGAGTGAAAAGAAAAGTAATGGAATTTAGCTAGTTGGTTGACTGCTAAAATTCACACAGCAAAGTTAATAGGTTAAATTATTGTATAAAAAAAAAAAATAATAATAAATAAATTACAATTATAATAATATCAAAACATTTTATAAAAAATAAATTTTAATAATATATAATTTTTTTGATAATCTATCAGTCATTGAACATTTTTTTAATAACATTTATTGTTATGATTCAGTTTCGGGCTCAGATTCATTCATAAAAGTAATAATTTCATCGTATTTGTCGTCAGCATCATACTTTTCCATTATTCTTTCAAAGTCTGATCGCCTCTTTTGGTAGATATTTGTCAAAACTTGTCTAGCCATATTCCTTTGTTTTTGCGAGCATTTGCTGCATACTGTGGATATAATATCAGGTAAAAGTGTATCTGAAAAAAGAACATTATTTTTAATGCAATCAATTGTCTAGTAAATGTTTACATTGATTAAGCTTAATTTAATAAACCAAATTCTAAAAATTGATAAATCATAATAGAAGTTTGTAAATACCATATATTTTGCAACATAATATTGTTATTGGAAATTTTAAAAATATTAATTTATAATATATTATAAACTATTATTATAATTATCAATTTTTAAGTTATCTGAGAATATCTTTGATCTATGATCTTAGAATAAGATTTTTAAAATATTTCTTGCGGTCAAATATATAAATCATTTATAAACAAAAACCTCTTTGAATTAAAATTATCTTTGTAAATCATACTTTTGACTTGTTTGCCTTCTTTGGTGCATGGTCCTTCGTCCATGAAACATTTAATGTATGCCGTCACTAATTTGTCATTTTTCAGTAGGTGACCAACATCAAGATGATCGTACGACGACACATATTTTCCTGACGCTGCTGTAAATGGCGAAACTGGTGATTTAGAACGAACTGATGTTGTACAAACAACAATCAAAATAGAAGAGAAGACAAATAATGGATTCATAGCGATCAAAATAGGATACCGTTATGAATGAGATATTAAGAGAAAATTAATAAGAATTGTTGTATTTGGAACACTTGTGATGATCTGATTCGAGTTTTGATAGTTTTCGCTTTTATAAGAGTCTAGAATTTGATTTTGTTTAATAATTTAAAATAATTATTTATATAAACAGACAAGTCTTATCGACATGAATGCAAAGCGTCACCGCTCACAATCCGTGACAAAACCACGGCCAGTTAAAGTGTTTTTATTATTGAAAAAGAAACACAATTTTCCATACCTAAGGTAAATGCGTAATTTTAAACTTCTTTAAGCAAAAAAAAATTCAAGTTCAAGTCATTATTTTATACAAAACGTGATGTGCTTATTTTAATGCATACATTAATTGATTGTTAAGAAATGCTGAAAAAAATCAATTCTGTCATTAGTCATACTTTATTTATCTACAAATTATCAAAAATATGAATACAACAAAAGATTCAACTTAACTATTAAAGCTAATTACTTCTATTACTTAATTACATTACTTAAACGTTTAATAATTACATGCTTTATGTTATAGCAGTACAAAGTTACTAATAAGTTGTGGTTGTACAACCATTCAAAAGGTGCTATGTATTAAGTAAAAGTAATCAATATTTGGTAAACAATAAACCATAAGAAATATGATACTACTTGATATGTTTTACGTCTTAAATAAAACAAAACACTTTTCTGTATATATATTTTCTCAACAGTTTAAATATAATTTTAAAAAAAATGTTAATAATATTAAATCTAAAATTAAACATCGAATCACGTTCGAAAGTACTCATCTAAATTTTACTTTATTGTAACATTGATTCTTTTTAACTCATCATCCGTGAAATTTACTTTTCCATTACTAAATATTAAAATATCTTAATTAATTAATTTATTTATTATTAATATTAATTAATAATTAATAAAAAATTAAATACTTATTAATTTCGATTATCACGTAATCATTTGTTCTATTTCTAGCAAAAAATAATTAATTTAATCTATTGTTTATTTTAATAATATTTTAAGTTTAAAGAAAAATGAAGCAATATAGTACGCATCAAATAAATCAAATAAGTTTACTCTAATGCTTTGAATTTAATTATACTTCGATTTGTTCTAGATGTAATGCTTAGTTTAAATAATAATAAAACAGTCATTAATTATTTAGCAGTTGATGGAATGAATTAATTTTTTATATGCAATACTTTCAAATAGCGCGTAACTTTATTGAAGATCTTTATTTATTTGATTAATTATCATCTAACTTATTCAAAAAGTATGCTAAACACAAAAACCAAAATTCGAAAAAAAATCTATTTGTTACTATTCAAGTTCAAATGATGACATTATTAATTGTAAAAATGGTTATAATGAAGATTGTAGTCCTTGGAGAGTAATATCTTGAAAATGTATTTATATTTTTCCAGTGGTTTACCATGAGATGAATTAAAATAATAAATTAAAAAAGAAATACATGATACAATGATGAATTGAGTTTTTAATTTGATCTTATTCAACCACCCGTGAGGAAGAAAACAAAAATCTCTTTTAATGAACTTAGTTAGAACTAAATAAGATGATTTTAGATTGTTTAATATGAATTTATAACAAAGACCACATAAGGTTATAGAATACTTATGTAAAGCTATCTATATACATGCTTTGTATTGACAAAACTTTCTTTTGTAGTGGAATAACTTTCTTAATATTAAATTTTAATTACTAAACATAAATTGACTTCTCTTTGTTTGATTATTTAAACATTTTTTAAAGATATTGGTACTTTACAAAATAGTTTTAATATCAGGTATAAAACTTAAAACTAATTAATATACACAATTATGATCAACAAACAAATAAAATACTAAGTAATAGTTTTGTTAATAATTATTTCATAATTACTATATGCTCAGTAAATAATCAAACTATGCCTACAACGTTCTAACTAAAATTGCAAAGGTAATATGTGTGGGTCATAATAATAAATTATATTATGTGCTTAGAATATTTTGCGATATTAGAAATTCATCCTACGCAAGGTAGAGAATTCAAGTTACTTGCTATAATATTATAAAATTAATTACTTATTGTTTAATATCATATACGTGTTTTTTTATAAGTGATGTGAATATTAATGTAAAACGTATTGATGTCGACAAATAAACCATGTTTAAAATAGTTTATACAAGGCATCTTATAAAAACAACTAAACCAATCGCGTATAATTTGTTGTTAACTAACATTTTCATATTAATGAAAACTACATTAATAGGAAAATAATAATATATTAAGTGATATAGGAGGATATCTGAATAATTTTGCCTAGGTACGTCAAAAAATTAGTTCGTAAATAATACACTGGTACCAATACCTGTATGCTATACATTATTATTTATGTATTTTATACTATACCTATAATCATATCTTGAAAAAATATTTGTGTGCATATTACATTTTTTTATTTACAAAAATGCAAATAAATAATTTTTGTATGACGTATTAAGAAAAACTTGTAAAAATCTTACTAAAAATAAACAATAATTAACAAATCTTTTATTATTAACGATTATTGATTATGATATATTTTTTTCTTTTTCAATCCTGTAAAAATCATCAAGTATAAATTAAGAATATTAAACTTTAACTAATATTATAATATAATAATTGTGTAAATATAAGATTTTTTAAATTTAAAAAGTTATGGATATTTTTTCTTTTATCAAAACTTATTTTAGTCTATGATAAATCTAACCGAAATTATAAAGTTTATATTAAAATTATGTTTGTTACAATAATGGGAAGTAATTTGAGCATAAGACGTATAAACATTAATGAATTGAAAATGTTTGTAAATACGTAGTAAGAGAACTTAGGGAATCATTTATTGTTTATTTTTTATAGTATTTCATATTTTAACACTACTTTCAGATAACTGTATATATTTTTATTGAGTACAAAATAAAAACTGTCTACTAGTTTACGATCCATATTAAGTATGATATTATAAAAATACTTGTAATAATACTTCTTATTTAATGTATAATGAATGATTATTGTAATTATTGATAAATTATTAATACTATTTCCATAAGATATTTTATAAAAGAACAAGGTCAGTTAACAAATTTAAACTAAAACACGTATTATAGTGTAAATTAGTTAACGTTACATATGTAATTATATCAACAATTGGAGAAATTATTATAGATGTAACGTAAATATTAATGTGGATTATTAATGTTAGTTATAAAAAAATTATAATAATTAAATTTAAGCCTATTAAATTAATTATACATTATAAAGTTCAGACCCGGAAAAGATTTACGGAGGACTCGCAAATTTTAAAAAATTCGCCAAGTCAATTTGGCTGACTATAAATTAAATAAGTCCCTTGATTGGCTATTATATAAAAAAATGACATGTTGGCTGACTGAAGTAATCTTACGAAATAAGCTACTCCTTTTCCCTCTTTAGTTACCATTTATCTAACACAAAAAAAGTCCTCTACATGTATGGCGATAACCATTTTTTGTGATCATTAATCATAGAAATAGTAAGGACTATTATCAAGAATTAAGAGTAAAACATTTTTGAAGCATTTTTTGTTCTATTTCGACACAGGTTTAAGATCTTATCATTCTTAAATTGAACCCTGTTCAAGAAAATTATTTGCACATAGTTAGCTGTGGTAGGTACTTATACTAAGATAAAAAGTATGTGTGAAGAAACAAAGGATTTCGGAATAAAAGTAGGTATATACCAAAATTCTGCTCTAAGCCCTTGTCTATTTTCTACAGAAATAGATGAAATTATTAATAAATATAAGGAGAGATATGGCGATGCATGTTTTTTGCTGATGATACAGTGTTAATAGAAGAAAATAAGGAAGAAGTTCACCAAAGGCTTAAGACGCGGAGATTATTAAGGGAATAAATTAAAGTATAAGTTTTACGAAAGAGAGCATTGAAATGAGAAGAGTAATGACTCATTACTAATGATAATAAATGAGGAAGTGATAGACAAGATGGCAAGTTTTAAATATTTAGAATCATTTGTACAAAAGAATAGTAGTATTAACGAGGATGTGATATATCCTGTGAGTAGATCAAGTGGAGAGAAGCAACTGGTTTTGTGAAAGAGAATCTTAATAAATCTAAAAGATGAGTTCTACAAGATTGTAGTGAAACCAACTATGTTGTATGGATCAGAGTGTTGGTCAGTTGATAAGAAAGCCGAGTAGAGAATGAGTATAGCATAGAATAGAACACTTTGATGGAGGAGTGGGGTGACGAGAGAAGATAGAATAAGAAATTAAATGTAAGAGAAACATAGAAGTAGCGTCGATTGTGAATAAGATGAGAGAAAATTAGATAGTTTGTTTTTATTATGAGAAGACAGAAATTGGAAGCTGTAAGAACGGTTATGAAAATTAAGGTTGAAGAAAAAAAAGGTGGTTGAGAGTAATTGGTGGGGATAATATGAGAACTGCTGGTTTGTATATAGATGATGTGTGAGATCATGTCAAGGGAAGTTTAGGAAATCTGTTGCTGACTCCAAGTAGTTGGGATAAAGGCGACGTAGAATAAAATGAGGAAGATTTAAACATAAGCATACTTTTTCAGCTTTGGGGGTTATTGGTATTTGTAAGTTAACAGTTTAGGTTAACAATTAATCTAGGTTAACACTAAATTTCGTAGCAAGAATTTAATGGGTTCTCATAGACGGTCCATAATGGACTTCCCTAAATCAGGGTTTTAGAAATTGGTTTTGAAAAATTATCGGTCGATTTCGATTTTAGAAACTGGTTTTAAGTCTTATGAAGGTTATGATTTCAGTATTGTTTAGGAAAACCCTAAACAATCGGTTATAACAGGTTTTCAAAAAAATAACTTCTGTCCCTACTTGGAATATATGTGTCTAATTATTTATAATTTTATATAATATCAATAAATTCAGTTTAGTATTTGAAAGGGGATCAATATAATTAATGAGAAATATTAAAAAAAATTTGGTTTACTACGGTTGCGATTTAGATTTTTTCTAATCCCACTAATTT